CTGTCAGGCGGAATTACCTCTCCGACACAGACACCACAATCGAGGGCGCCCTTCCCATAATTCAGTCTGATTGGCTCAAGGGGAAAATGGCAGCCTGTGGAGAGTGAGGCGAGCGGCTGGTTGACAGGTTTGCATTTGCGAAGCTAGACGTGGCGTTTACCTGTTATCATTCTGTCGGCTCAACGTGTCAGTTTTCTCAGTTCAGAAAGCAACCTCAACAAAGTGACACAGAGAATAGAGTCCATGGTGTTAGGAGGCAAATACGTGCCGTAACATTATTCTACGCACACACACACGCATGCATGCACGCACGCACGCGTGCACACACACACACGCACACATAAGGGGTGGGGCAAAATCGTAATAAATGCTCTGACGAGTCACAAAGCTTGTCTGTTCCATTTGAGTGACAGCACATCTGTACATGTTGTTAACTATGTAAAATGTGCATTATGTACTTTAGTACACATTTTTTCATCTTTAAAATTCTGTAAAACTGAATGAAACATAAAATAAAATGAATGCTATTGGACCACCATAGTCTTGCCGAGGGCTAGCTGAGAAGATCAATACCACTGGAGCTACTACTTTTCTTAGCTAAGCATAGCAAGACCGGAAAGTAGGTAGAAACACCTAGCCTGGCTCTGTCCAAAGTTTATAAATAGCCCACCGGCAGCTCTAAAACTTGTTTTTATCAGTTTTATCTCAATTATCCGATCCATTCACAGACAAATTTAAAAACAAAACGTTGTATTTCCGAGGTGATTTATTTCTAACTTTTTCTTGGCAACCAGTTGCTGGGTGCAGTGACCTCCTGGTTGGCTTGCAGTCTCACGGTGATTAAACTGCAGGGAGTCACTGTGCTGTTTGCCAAAAAATATTTACAGAACATAACTCCATGTAAAATCACAGTTTGCATTTTTTTCTTTTACATCTCTATCTTTGTCCAGATTAAACAAATGAAATACAACATGTTAATTTGTTATTTTAAGTTAAGTTTGTAGACAGATTTGGATTTCCCCCTGCTTCCATTGCCTTCTGGCTCTAGCTTCATACTGAACACACAGACATGGGAACACTTTATTAGGAACACCATATTAATACTAATCCCTTTGTTCTCAAAACAGCCTCAGTTCTTCATGGCATGGATTCAACAAGATGTTGGACACATTCCTTTGAGATTCTGCTCCATGTTGACATGATTGCATCACATAACTTCTGCAGATCTGTCAGCTGCACATTCATGCTGCCAATCTCCTGTTCTACCACATCCCGCCCCCCAGATGTTCTATTGGATCCACATCTGGTGACTGGGGAGGCCACTGAAGTTCACTGAACTCATTATCTTGTTCATGAAACCAGTTTGAGCACCACTTTTCTTTTGTGTTATGGTGCATTCTCATGCTGAAAGTAGCCATTAGAAGATGGTAAATTGTGGCCATAAAGGGATGTATATGACTGGCAACCATACTCAGATAGGCTGTACCATCCAAACCATGATTGACTGGTATTAAGGAGCCAAAAGTGTGCCAAGAAAACATTTCCCACACCATTATACCACCATCAGCAGCCTGGACTGCTGACACAAGGCATGTTGGGTCCATGGATACATGTTGTTGATGCCAAATTCTGACCAAATTCTACCATCTGCGCGCCTCAGCAGAAATCCAGATTCATCAGACCATTCTACATTTTTCCAGTCTTCAACTGTCCAGTGCTGGTGAGCCTGTGTCCACTGCAGCCTCAGACTTCTGTTCTCGGTCGACAGGAGAGGAGACTGACGTGGTCTTCTGCTGTTGTAGCTCATCTATCTAAAGATTCGAGGTGTTCTACATTCGCAGATGTTTTTCTTTCTCACTACAGATGTAAAGAGTGGTTATCTGAGTTACCTTAGCATTTCTGTCAGCTCCAACCAGTCAGGCCATTCCCCCCTGACCTTTCTCATCAACGAGGCCTTTCTGTCTGCAGAACTGCTGCTCACTCTATGGTTTTAGTTTCTAGTAAACTCTCATGCACTGTGCGGTATGTGCAAATATACAACAACAAATATGTATATGGTTTTGTGTGTGTGTACAAATGATTAAGATTGTTATGTGTACGTTCAGAAATAACCAACCACATATTAAGCACAAGCACAGGCACATGCACAAAAAAATACACATTGTCAAGTTCATACACAAATTTGCACACAGACACACAGACATACAGAGATACACACAAATACACACAAATGCTCCACACCTATGCTAAGTGCTCTTATCTGTGACTTGTGTAGAGGTGAGTGACAGGAAGGGAGGCGCAGGGGGGAAGTGTCCTTTAGGTGTCTTAATTATGGCTCCTCTCCTCCCTCTCGCTGTCACCATCCCCAGGGGAGGGCAAGACAAAAGGAAGGCAATGTTTCATCTCTGCTGCCTTGGTATTTCAAATTCCAAGGGGAGTAAGAGAAGAGAGACAGCAGGCTGTTACATTGGAGAGAGAAGAGGAAATCAAGTGACGCTTCCCTTTTCCCTCTGTTTTCGCTCTTCTTGCCTCCTTTGCAGCTGTGTTTAAAATAAGCCACCTTAATAAAAGCATTTTAATGGCGTCAAGGCA